TGTGTGTGTGTGTGTGTGTGTGTGTGTGTGTTGTGTGTGTGTGTGTGTGTGTGTGTGTGTGTGTGTGTGTGTGTGTGTGTGTGTGTGTGTGTGTGTGTGTGTGTGTGTGTTGTGTGTGTGTGTGTGTGTGTGTGTGTGTGTGTGTGTGTGTGTGTGTGTGTGTGTGTGTGTGTGTGTGTGTGTGTGTGTTGTGTGTGTGTTGTGTGTTGTGTGTGTGTGTGTGTGTGTGTGTGTGTGTGTGTGTGTGTGTGTGTGTGTGTGTGTGTGTGTGTGTGTGTGTGTGTGTGTGTGTGTGTGTGTGTGTTGTGTGTGTGTGTGTGTGTGTGTGTGTGTGTGTGTGTGTGTGTGTGTGTGTGTGTTGTGTGTGTGTGTGTGTGTGTGTGTGTGTGTGTGTGTGTGTGTGTGTGTGTGTGTGTGTGTGTGTGTGTGTTGTGTGTGTGTGTGTGTGTGTGTGTGTGTGTGTGTGTGTGTGTGTGTGATGTGTGTGTGTGTGTGTGTGTGTGTGTGTGTGTGTGTTGTGTGTGTGTGTGTGTGTGTGTGTGTGTGTGTTGTGTGTGTGTGTGTGTGTGTGTGTGTGTGTGTGTGTGTGTGTGTGTGTGTGTGTGTGTGTGTGTGTTGTGTGTGTGTGTGTGTGTGTGTGTGTGTGTGTGTGTGTGTGTGTGTGTGTGTGTGTGTGTGTGTGTGTGTGTGTGTTGTGTGTGTTGTGTGTGTGTGTGTTGTGTGTGTGTGTGTGTGTGTGTGTGTGTGTGTGTTGTGTGTGTGTGTGTGTGTGTGTGTGTGTGTGTGTGTGTGTGTGTGTGTGTGTGTGTGTGTGTGTGTGTGTGTGTGTGTGTGTGTGTGTGTGTGTGTGTGTGTGTGTGTGTGTGTTGTGTGTGTGTGTGTGTGTGTGTGTTGTGTGTGTGTGTGTGTGTGTGTGTGTGTGTGTGTGTGTGTGTGTGTGTGTGTGTGTGTTGTGTGTGTGTGTGTGTGTGTGTGTGTGTGTGTGTGTGTGTTGTGTGTGTGTGTGTGTGTGTGTGTGTGTGTTGTGTGTGTGTGTTTGTGTGTGTGTTCTGAGTGTGTTATCCTCAGAGCTCTGATCCGTCGTGTGCACATGACCGAGGGGCAGTGGGGAAAAGGAACTCTGACCCCGAGAATGAGCAGCGACTTCGACCTGACGCTCGACAGCGGCCCCCTGCTCCAGACCATCCACCAACTCGACTTCGTACAGATGAAAGGTACACAACGACGCACAACGACGCACAACAACACACACAAACACACACAACACACACACAAACACACAAAACACACACACACAAAAAACACACAACACACACAAACACCAACACCCCCTTCCAGTCACCAACTCGATTCGTACAATGAAAGGTACACAACGACGCACAACGACACACAACGACACACACAACAACACACACACAACAACACAACAACACACAAAAACCACACAACACACACAACACCAACACCCCCCTGCTCCAGACCATCCACCAACTCGACTTGTACAATGAAAGGTACACAAACGACGCACAACGACACACAACGACACACACACACACACAACACACACACAACAACACACACCACACAACAAACGACACACAACACACACAACAACACACACAAACAACAAACAACAACACACAACACACACAACACACACAACACAACGACACACACCACAACCCTGCCGCTCCAGACCATCCACCAACTCGACTTCGTACAGATGAAAGGTACACAACGACGCACAACGACACACAACGACACACACAACACACACAACACACACACACACACACACAACACACACACGACACAAACACAACACAACAACACAACACAACAACACACAACAACACACACACACAACACACAACAACACAACACACAACACAACGAACACACACAACACACACAACACAACAACACCAACCACACCACACACAACACAACAACACACACACAACACACACAACACACACACAACACAACAAACACACAACACACACACATCACACTCACCACACACACAAACACAACGCACAACGACACACACACAACACAACAACACACACAACACAACACACACAACACACACAACAAAACAACAACACACACAACAACACCAACACCCCCCTGCTCCAGACCATCCACCAACTCGACTTCGTACAGATGAAAGGTACACAACGACGCACAACGACACACACAACACACACAACACAACAACACACACAACACACACAACAAACACAAACAACACACACAACACCAACACCCCCCTGCTCCAGACCATCCACCAACTCGACTTCGTACAGATGAAAGGTACACAACGACGCACAACGACGCACAACGACACACACAACACACACAACACAATGACACACACAACAACAGAAACACAACACAAAACACACAACACACAACAACACCACAACCCCCCTGCTCCAGACCATCCACCAACTCGACTTACAGATGAAAGGTACACGACGCACAACGACGCACA